ACACACACACACACACACACACACACACACACACACACACACACACACACACACACACACACACACACACACACACACACACACACCTACTCGAGGACTTGTGCATATGATTGGGTATGTATGAAAATACATAGAGAGAAAGTGCTAATGTTTCGGAAAAGACACGTATCTTAAAAATTGTTGCGTGTTGATAACGGGTGTATCTGCATATATATATATATATATATATATATATATATATATATATATATATATATATATATATATATATATATACATATATGTGTAGTGTATATATATATATATATATATATATATATATATATATATATATATATATATATATATATATAAACACAAATACACACACGAGTATTTGAGTATGGATGTGTGTGCATTCCTCTAAAATCGCGTGTGTCTACATATCCTTATGTTTAAGTGTGCAATGGTCTGTCTTTTGTTCGTGTGTAAGCGTTAATCCCGAATTTCTTCCAAAGCGTGTATAGAAAACGGAATGTAGGCGTCTGTTGCGCCGTGCATGTGACCGCACCGATAATTGCCACATCTACCTTGCTGTCCTCCCTCAGTTACTGTGCCTTATGTCCGTGTTTAGCCACACAATTCGTTAAAGATGTTCGTAAATCAGAACTGGAACATGACATATTATTGATTTTTGCCTCCCCCTCCCCCCTCCCCTTCTCCATGATCTCGGAAGATTTTTATTTCATTTTCTTTCTTTCTTTCTGTCTTTACATCGGTTGAGGATCTGCTAAAGATAAAAAAATATGTACTTCGTACCTTTTATATGTATAACTGTAAACAAAAGAAATTATGTTCGTTTGATTTGATGTATCATAATATGCAGATGATAATAAATGCAGTCATCTGTACTGATACATCTACTTAAAAAAATACCCACTGGTGTAACCATATAGGGGAATACTTTTTAGTTCTTTTTTTTAATCACGTGATTCAAGGTCTTCTTGAAAAAAAATATTGTGACTGTTACGAATATACAAACCTCACTCTACTGTGTTACCTCTCAAAGCAAATAAATGGGGAGAGAAACATGAAGATAATGTGAGGGAATGATGATTTAAGGCGCATGGGCTAAAGGAATTACCTATAATCTTGTTATTGTGTTCAGCGATGTTACTGGTGTACTTTTCCCACTATAGTGTAAGTTTCATCCATCGCAGTGCCACTTGCGCTGCGGTCAGCAGTGTGTCCAGGCCAGCCTAGGGTGCCTATGAAATGAGGTATCGCGGTACAGGCGACTCATGCTGCATCCACGGAAGGTCCAGTTCGTGGACGCAGCGTGAAAGGGTCTGGGAGACTCTCCAAAGGGTTGTTCTGATCTGTCTGCGGATGGCGTTTGTCGGCGTTCGCTGATCCCCGAGGGAATGCCGTACTTAAACGGGTCGTTGAGCTGCTAAACTCATTATAATTAGATGGAAGCCGTGTGGTTTACAATTCGACGAAGCGCACCTCCAGATCCGCTGCTGATCTCGTCTCGGGGTGTCTGTCGGAGCTTGTTCATCACACGCTCTATAGGCGCCATGCACAATGGGCCTTGGCGACCGTACCACTGGACGCCACCTCGATCGGAGCTCCACTGCCCATTACTTCAATGTCAAGCACAGTCTGTGTTCTCCCTGCATGTGTCTTTCTTGCTTCTGAGGACAATGTCTATGTCACTGTACATTCCATTTCATTATATTTGTTCATGGCATGTAAACAATACAAATTGTTGTTGACCTTCAAATACATTATGTTATTTGAAAGACTTTTGGTGTTTCTCTGGTGTGATTCCTCTGTCTCTCTCTTCGTGATTATAAAAGCATAGTGTGTTTTCTGTTATACAATAAGTATTTCTAGGGTGGGCTTCATGTATGTTCTTGTTCAGTTTAGGTAATTTATCAATTAATCATTGGACAGTGAACTTGCATAATAACATTCTTGGATACACTGAAGTACTGAATTCATAGAGAGAAAAACTAGCTTATATATTAATGAAAAGTGAATTCACTAATAGATGTATATTTTACATGGACATACACATATAGAGATAACTGAACAGATAAACCGATGTAGATATAGGCATATACATACACCTACAACACACATTTTATCATGAATGTTAGTATCATTACCTTCGTATTTTCATTATTCTGACAGTTGCCATCACGCCAATTCTTTCATTATTATTTTATCATCTTTATCATTATCATTATTATTATCAGTGTCATCACCATTTTTGTTATTGATACTACTATCATTATTATTATTATTATTATTATTATTATCATTACCTTTATTATCATTACAGTATTACAATAATGATAACAATAATGATAATGATAATAACAATAAAAAATGTTATCATTATTATTACTATTATTACCATCATTATCATTATTATTATTACTATTATCACTATTATCATTATTAACATTACTGTTAGTAGTAGTAGTAGTAGTAGTAATACTATTTTTTTTTAATCATTATTGTTATTATTATTACCATGATAATTATTATTATTTTGTTGTTGTCGTTGTTGTTATTATAATTACTATTATATCATTATCATTATTATAGTTTTTTATCATTATTATTAGTTAATATAATTATTATTATAATTTTATTATTATTATTATTATTATTATTATTATTATTATTATTATCATTATTTTTATTATCATCATTATTATAATTATTATCATCATTATTATTTTATTATTATTATTATTATTATTATTATTATTATTATTATCATTATTACTATTATTATTATTATTATTATTATTATTATTATTATTATTATCATTATCATTTCTTTTACTATCCATATTATTATTATTATCAATATCATTATTATTATTACCATTATTATTATTATTATTATTATTATTATTATTATTATTATCATTATTATTATTGTTATTATTATCATTATTACTATTATAATTATTATTATTATTATCATTAATTATCATTATCATCAATATAATCATTGTTAATATCATTTATGGTATTACTATCATTATCATTATCGTTATCTTTCTTATCGTCATTGTCTTTATCATTATTTTTTTATTTTTTTATTTTTTGTCTGATTTGCGAGGTAGAGCCTCACCCGGGCTATGCCCATGAGGGGAGCCCGGTATATTATTATTATTATTATTATTATTATTATTATTATCATTATTATTATTATTATTATTAATTACTATTACTGATGATGTCATCATCAGCATTATCCTTATTTGTATTATCATTTTAATAATAATTACTCTTATTGTCATTATCTTTATTATTGTCATTATCATTATAATAATAATGAAATAATAATAATAATAATAATGATAATTATTATTATTATTATTATTATTATCATTATTACTATTATTGCTATTATTAATATTATTATTATTATTATTATTATTATTATTATTATTGTTGTTGTTGTTATTATTACTACTACTACTACTGCTGCTATCATTAACAATAATAATATTATTACTTTTATTATTATTATTACTGTTATTATTATTGCTACCATTATTACTGTTATCATTATCATTATTATTAGTGTTGCTATTATTATTATTATTATCATCATCATATTTTTATTATTTTTTCATAATATAATCATTATTATTATCATCATTAACGTTATCAGTTCTATCATTATTGTTATTATTATTATTATTATTATTATAATTATTATTATTATCATTATTATTATCATTATTATTACTATTACTTTTATTAACATTATTAGTATTATCACTGTTTTAATATCAATATTATTACCATCATTATCATCATCATTATCACTGTTATCATTATCCTTACCATGACCATTATTAGTATCATTATTATGATTAGTATTAATAGTAGCAGTAATATCAGCATCATTATCAACATTTTCTATGATTTTTATTATTGTCATTATTATTATTGTTATTACAGCCATTATCAGACTTACCATTATCATTATCATCATTATTATCACTATTACTACTAATTTATCATCATGTTTTCATTATTATTATCATCATATTTTCATCATTATTTTTCATTATCGTGATTATTGCAATTCCACCACTGTTGTTTTAGTTCATATTATCAAGATGCACACACACACACACACACACACACACACACACACACACACACACACACACACACACACACACACACACACACACACACACAGTCTATAAGGCACAATTGTCATCCTTACCGTCTTAATATAGATAAAACAAAGGAAATGACTTATCATTTTCAAAAATGCGAATATCCTAGAGCAGTGATTCCCAAAGTTGGCTTCCATGCACCCCCCCCCCCCTCTGTCATGCATACATGCGAACACTCCTTTATTTTGGTATACCGCAAATTTTTAAAAATATATATAAATAATGTTAAATGTGCCCCTTAATGTTTATGACATATTTTGTCATTAAAAAAAAGGAATCTATTAACTGCTCTTAATGGCATCCTGTCCCCCCCCCCCCCCCCCGATCTATCCAACGCCCCCAGGTACGCCCACTTTGGAAATTAATGTTCTAGAGAATGGAGGAAAAATATGAAATTGGAAATATAAAAATCACACATTTCATAGTCAAAAATCGTGTACAATCGCAATAATCGCAATACAATAACTAAGAAAATAATATTCATCGTTGCATCATTTTCTCCCAAGAGTTACTTAACACTTTCATATTTGTTCTTGAACGACATACATGTGACATTTTACTTGATCAAATCAAGAGTGTTCAGGAATAAAATATGATAAAAAGGGAAGTTTTTGTTTTAGATTACTGATTTATCGCTGATTATTTTCTTAGCGTTCAATAATTACCTCATATATGACTGAATATGAGACTTTTCATCGCCGGATATCGATATGCCAAGAGTAATCACTTTTAAAGAAAATCTCTGTCATTTTGCTCAAATTTTGACCAAGTTCTCACCTGATATTTCAAGTAGCTGTT